AGCAGAAAAGGGGCAGCTTAAGGATCAGCGGGTGAACTCTAAAAGGCACACGAGCTGGACTGGCCAAGCCACGTGCGGGTTCCTGGGTCGCGACTCCCGGGAACACAGTAAGACACACCTGCAGCACTTAAATTGCAAGGTAGGGGAGGGGTGGGTTAACCAAAGAAACAAAGGCTGTGTTCCTCTTTTTAAAAGCTATGTTTTTGGGCTTGGCTTAAGGCCATAAACCCTTGGGGTCCATCCTCTATGCTAAGGCTATAGGGCAAAGAGTTGTGACGTCCTAATGAGGGGAAGGGGGCAATATTCAAATATGCTGCCCTAACTTCAAAAGGGGGCCATGTGGCCAGGTGTGAAACTGTCGTTTCCATTGGTAACCTTTGACTTGCAGAAGATGCGCCTGGTCCATAGGCAATCAAGGAAGTTGTCTTTGTGATTCCAAAACCAGATACCAGGGAGAATTGCGTTCTTTCCTACAGTTCGCCAATGGTGGAAAAGCCTGTTGTTTCTCCAAGTCTCTCATTGTGCATAATGGCGCTGGTCTCCTTTGTCCAGAGGCACTCTGGGAGATTCCAGGGAGGCATGTGTCTTGTGGCAGGCAGCTCAAGCCATGCCCATCCATAGGCAGCATGAGGTGCAAGGCCAGCCATTCAAACACACAGCATCAAACACACACAGCAGTGATCCCTGAGTCTCAAATGCACAGATACACAGACATTTGGCCAACGCAGCATAAGCACAGTACAGACAAAATGCAATTGCAAACACACATGGTAACACTACAGCCTAGAACTCTGCCAGTTTGGTCTGCTACCTAATTTCACATAATCTGTCGATCAAATCTAGCTGCATCTAGTTTGAAAGTGAAGAGGGGAAGGTCCATGGCTTAGTGGTAAAGCATCTGTCTGGAATGCAGAAAGTCCAAGGTTCCATTCCCAGAATCTCAGATAGCAGGTGATCTGAAATACCACGACCAGAGACCATCGAGAGCTATTGCCAGTCAGTGTAGACTGATCTTGATAGACCAGTTTTCTTGCTCAGTATAAGATAGCTTCACGTGTTCCAGTGTGCCAGTCTAGTCCGAACAATGAGCTTCCAGCCACTCCTTACTGCCCTTCCATCTCCTTTGGGTTAAAAGCATCCCCAGACTATTTGCAGGAATTGCTGCTGTTGCTCTCACCAGTGCTTTCAATCAAGGAGATGTGGCCAGGATGACGAGAGCTTAATGCCAGGTTCTCCGAAGAAGGGTCAGTCTTGGAGAGGAAAGGGAATGGGAATGACGTTTGTAATCATGTATATTGTTGCTGGGCAACCACATGGGTTCCCCTATGTTTTCCTTTCATCCAGCAGCAATAATGTTTGCTCACTGGGATATGAGAGAATTAAAGGGGTAGAGAGGGAAGACTATTTTAGCATGTCCCAGTGGGGTATAGTGCTTAGAAAGTCTAACTTGGATTCAGGAGACAGGGGTTCCAAACTTCAGTATGTCACAAAGCTTGCTGGGTGCCCTTGGACCCATCGCTCTTCTTCACCGTAACCTACCCTGCAGTGTTGCTGTGAGAATGGATGGGAAAGGTACTTGGAAGAAGGTTTGGATTATATATTAAACAGAGAGACTTTGGCTTAATAACATAAGAAGAACCCTGCTGGATCAGACAAGTGGTCCATCTAGTCCAGCATCCTGGCTCACACAGTGGCCAACCAGTTCCCCTACATGGCCATCAACAGAGCACAGAGGCTGAGACCTTCCCCAGGTGTTGCCTCTTTGGGATTCAGAGGTTTAGTGCCTCTGAACATGGAGGTTCCCCTCAGTCACCATGACTGATAGCCACTGATAGATTCATCCTCCATGCATCTATCAAATCCTATTTTAAAGCTATTTATTCCTGTGACCATCGTTACATCCCCTGGTGGCAAATTCTACCTTTTAATCACTCTCTGTGTAAAGAATTAAATGGCTTGCAAATGTTAGAGTCATGCCACTGGGAAGGATTCCAGGTAGCATTCCGATACCCTGCTTTTAGACAAGATTACGTCACACCTGAAGCTGTATGCCTTTCTCCAAAAACATCCAAGGAACGCAAGCTTGTCTGTGTCTGTTGTCAAAGGACATGTACTCTGTTGCAGTGTTCCCTCTAAGCTTTGGAGTCTTGTGAGCAAAAATTCTATTTTGTGAGCTACTGGCATTAAAAGTTGTGAGTAAGTGATTCGGCTGCTGCATAAATTAGTTTGGTCTGGAACCATCCTTCCTGAGCCAAGACAAAAATGTGTGAGCCGGACGCTAAGAAACCATGAGCTAGCTCACACTAACTCAGCTTAGAGGGAACACTGCTCTGTTGCATCCCAAAATAAACTTCTTGAGAGAAATTCAGTTTGAAACGTGTGAGTTTTTATGCATACATCTAACCCCCACCCCACCCCCGGTACATAGTTGCTGAGGACATGGAGATACAGATGCTCCTTTCATAGTGAATGTGCACAGCCAGTGCACTGCGCAATTTGAGTTCCAAATGAAAGATTCTAGCCTCACGTTATGGTTTATCTTTGACTTTATCTTTGCACCATGGAGAAGCTATGGAGAATTAGGGAAAATCTCAGGAAACAACCACATGAGAACCCTATGCTATATGGGGAATATCTCACTGACAGCCACATCATACCTTATTCGACAGCCTGGCCCTAAAGAGGCTAGACTGGCCATCACCAGGGCTAGGGCCTTCTCCGTGGCAGCTCCATGCTGGTGGAACGAACTCCCTGAGGACACCAGGGCCCTGTGGAACTTACTTCAATTCTGCAGGGCTTGCAAGATGGAGCTCTTCCACCAGGCATTTGACCACATTTAACATCTTGACATAACTTGGAGCCTCCCTGGGATTGTGTTCATCATCTAAATCTGTACTAACTGACTCCTGTTATGAAAACATTCGATTATGAATACCGTTGCATAGGAATGTATGTATGTATGTATGTATGTATTACACTTTAGATTTTATGTGTTTTTAAAATGTTTTAACAGTTTTATGTAAGCCGCGGGGAGGGCGGGGTATAAATCCAATAAATAAATAAATATTGTGTACTCTGACTGGCAGCGACTCTCCAGAGTCCCAGACAGAGGCCGTTCGTATCACCTGCTGCCTGTTCCTTTTAACTGGAGATGATAGGAATTGAACCTGGACCTTCTGCGTGCGAAGCAGATGTTCTACCACTGAGCCACTGCCCCGCTTCCCTTTCGTCTCACTGTCATTTCTACAAAATGGATTCTACAAGGTTTGAAAACTCTGCAAAAACTTGCCAGAGAGGCTAGTTGAACACTGCACAGGCAACGATGCCTTTGTGACACCACCACCACCTTCAATATTCTGGTAAAAACCATCAGTGGCCTCCAACTCCAGCCACTATGCAAACTGTGAAGTGGCACTGAGAGCCCTGTAGGACTGATCTGCCTTCCTGGTGCGATCTTACTCTGTGAGAAGCAGACTAAAGTAATACCAAGTCCCATGCTGCCATGTCTCTTGCTGCAGGGGCAGGTTGGGATATTACAACAATTCTGGAACAGCCAGGGGCAATCTTAAAAATGGGCAACAGGGGCAACTGCCCTGGGCACTGCTCTGGGGAGGGTTACTGCTTACACCCCCCCACCCCACCCTGACAGAGGGAAGCCAGCTCAGCAGCAGTGTCTGCTCGCACCTACCCCACCTGAAGCTCCAGCAGCTGGCTTCCACTGGTGGCAGCAACTCCTGCCTGCCTCACGTGAGGTGAGAGTCACCACTGTCTTGGACCCCCATGGCACAGGGTAGGTGTGGCAGTGATTAAGAACATAAGAACACAAGAGAAGCCAATGTTGGATCAGGCCAATGGCCCATCCAGTCCAACACTCTGTCACATAGTGGCCAAAAATACCAGGTGCCATCAGAAGGTCCAGCAGTGGGGCCAGGACACTAGAAGCCCTCCCACTGTTGCCCCCCCCCCAAGCACCAAGCATTCTGGGATGGTGGTGGCGGCAGTGATTTTGGGGGTCTATCTTGGACTTTTGGCCAGGGCCCTGGAATCACTCAGAGCACCCCAGCATTGAGTGGCCCCGGAGGCACTACCAGGGTTATCTGAGGCAACTTGGCTCCGCTCACTCCAGGGTTGTTTTAATGTGCCAACTCGCCCTTGCTAATCCTGTATAACTATCTGCTTTTTCACTCTAAACACCTATGACAGTGATGCACAAATGTTACACAAGTGACTTCATAACATATATTTATATTAGAAACATGTGAATAAAATCTAGCAAGACACCCAAGAGTCTGCAGTACATTTTCTGTAGGACTGTCCCATTTTTATTTTTGTGTATTTAGGAGATCTGAGAGCTTTGCAAAAGGGAGGGGGGAAAGTGAGATCTCAGGTTTCCCAGACACATTTTGCTCTGCCTTAAATAGACTTCGAATCCACATTTCCCAGCACTTTCTATTTTTTCCCCTCTAATAACCAGCTCCGTTAAAATTTGTTGTACTGAGAAATGCACCTCAGAGAAGCTTCTAGTTAACGTCACTTATTTAAAATGAGGGCTACCTTTGAAGATGCAAGTCACACTTTGCTGTATTTTTTTAAAAAGGAGGGGGAGAAGATGAAATGAAAAAAAAGTCGTGTGCTGTATTAAATGATTCAAAATGTGTACTGGGAGTGGCAGGATCATGAATAATGCAACGAAGACCCGGGATTTTCCTTGCAAGGTCGATGAATGGAAAAGGCAAGGCTTTAAGACAGATCAGCTCATAGTCTCTCGGAGTGGCTGAGAGATCACCATCCATCTGGAGGGTTAAGGCAAGTTCAGGCGACGCTGAGCACCCGCTCGTCACTCCCAAGAAAAAGATTAAATTGAAATCTATTGGCACCAGGTTGAGTTCAGTGGGAGTCTGACAGCTGCTGGGAAGAGTTGAGAAGTCTGAAATGTTTGATGCCAAGTGAATCGGAGTCTATTTTTGAACTCCACTTCCACATCCTGGAGGAATGGTTATCAAAGGCGGAGGGAGGCGATGAACAATACCCCAGGCAGCCGATGCAGAGAACAGGACCCCTACTTTATTTATGCCATTCAAATGACTGGGATTCCTTACAAAATGGCTTGAAAGAGACGGTCTGTTTGTAGAAGATGAATGTAAGTATTGCCAAAGGGGGAAAGTGGGGGGGAAAGTGCTTTCAAATCATTTCTGGCTTTAGTAACAATCATTTGATTTCCCCCTTAAACTGACAATAGCTATTGTAAGAGACAGACGGTTTGAAGAGTGCGTGGGCTCCTGCCGACTCTGGGAAAGGAACTTTTCCCTCGCCTTTGTTTTTAAGTATGTCCAAAGCTGTTCTAGCTCAGTGTCTGCTGTGAATTGAAAAGCTGGGAACAAATAAAATCCATGGCCTCGTGTATGGTATATGTATCTAGCAGTCTAACTGCATCTCAGTGGTACCTAAGCAGCGGAGCAATTTTATTTTTAGCATTTCCAGTGCCTAAGTGGCCCAGTACGAAAATATACCCTGGTTAGCTTTTTTCACCCCTCAAAGTGGGAAGTAAATAGCAAAATTATGATTTTGTGTTTCTCGTAATCAATTATGCAGGCACGGCGACTTTGACTGGCAGCAAAGCTGAAGCCTGCAGCTATGCTTATTGAGAAGGGCAATTGCTAATTATGTACAGCAAAACAGTGTTAGGCTGGGAAAATTTGAAAATTAGGCACAGTTAGAACAAACAGAACATATGCAGAATGCAGGGAGGGGTAAATCCTAACTCATAATGGGAGTGATGGGATCTGTTCCTTACACTGTTTCTAAATACTGAGGATGCAGGCAGACTTTTGCAGCCTTGGTTTTCAAACCTTACTGTGGGGTGTCTCATTATGCTGTGAACTTGGTGGATGAAATAATTCTAGATAACATGTTTTAAACTGGATTTATTTTGTAATGGAGACAATACCAGGAAGCATTTGCTTCCTTCTGGCATTCTCCAAAGGACGCCCCCCCTGTCTGTATAAGTGAGTGGCATATTTGTACACACACAGCTTGGTTACGAGTGTGCATATAAAGACAGATATGAATGACTTCTCCTTACTTTATACGCAACATCACAACCACTGTTTCTGGGAGGAAATGCACCGATGTCTGTGTTTATTAACATGTAAGAATCTTACTTAGGCAAGTGTCATTCAAAGTGTATCTACTGAGCTGATATTGGATTCTGTGCACAGAACTGCCGTTTCCTTAGGACCTGACAGTCAGGGGAAAGTTGTTTGACCCTCCTCCCCCCTTCTTTATGCAACATTAGATGCAGGTTTTTAGGATAGCCCTGGAAAGTATCCTTCACTTGAACTATGTTGTTTTCTTCCGTGTCAAGCAGATCAGCATGATTACCTCCATTTTGTAAGGTGCAATTTGAACTGATAGAGAGTGAATGAGCTAACTTGGTTTCCAGGTGGGGAGCAGTGTTCCCTCTAAGCTGAGTTAGTGTGAGCTAGCTCGCAGTTTTTTAGCCTCCAGCTCACACATTTTTTGTCTTAGCTCAGGAAGGATGGCTCCAGAGCAAACTAATTATGCAGTAGCCAAATTGCTCGTTCACAACTTTAATGCCAGTAGCTCACAAAGTAGATTTTTTGCACACAAGACTCCACAGCTTAGAGGGAACATTGGTGGGGAGCTGCATTGGTCTGCAGGAGAAGTGCAAGATTGGAGTCCAGGAGCACCTTAAAGACCAACCGGATTTCCAGGGTAGAAGCTTTCCAGAACCAAGGCTCCCTTTGATCTCCACTACGACTTGTATCTGGCAAATGGAGCTTTGACTTTCAAAAGCGTATACCCTCAAACCCTTGTTGGTCTTTACGATGCTACTGGACTTGAATCTTGCTGAGCTAACTTAGGACAGAGATGAGATCTGAATCCGGGATTTATTTCACAAGTCATACTCTTAGGCTGCACAGTGTGCCAGTTCCCAGGTTATCAGCTACAGTCAGCATTTGTTTGCAAAAAGCAGAGCTTCCGTGCAGGCAACATCAGTCTTGTCCTGACTGATGTTATGTCGCTCTCAAGCCGGAGAAGCTGTTGCAAACTGCTCTTATGAGAGAGTTAGACCTTCTACGTCTATTTTATTTTCAGAACTCAGATCTATAAATTGGCAGCTCTGCTTCACATATGTGCTCCACATACCCAAACCCCCCATCATTTTCCTGTAGAAACCATTCGTTGTAACTCTAGCACTAACCTCTTCAAACTTCTTGTAAAATCCATTTGCTGAAGTTGGCATCCCAGTGTGCTCTGGTGATATATGCTGGCTTATTCCACATTCCCATGGATCTTTACACCAAATATACCTCTTCCTTCCAGTTGAACTGGGAGGAAAAGTTAATGAGCATGTTTGATGTAAATTTGTGTGTCTGTGTTAAGTGCTATCAAGTCGCTTCTGACTTATGACGACCCTACGAATCAGTGTCCTGCAAAACATAAATATATACAGGTATGTGTTTGGTACTCTGTATGTGTGCGTTTGCATCAAAAGGGAAGAGTGTTTGGTGTTAGTCTGGCAGGACAATGGAACAGAATCTGTATATCAAGTCGAAAAAGCAAATCAGTCGAGGCACAGCTAAGTTCTAGCTGATTCCAGTGGGGTAGATTTATGCATGTATTTTAATGTTCCATCAAAATCAATGGAATGTGAAGGACTTTGTTTAATTTGGGCTAGATTGATCCCCGACAGTTTTTATTTATTATAAGGCTTCTATACCGCCCTCCCTGCAAGCGGGCTCAGGGCAGTGCACAACAAAATTAATAAAATACATATAAATACAACACACAGTTTTTTAGAAGCCACAAGCTTTAGACTTGTGCTATAGTCAGGGCTATTTTGGGGCAGGAACGCACAGGAACGGCGTTCCGGCTGGCTCCCAAGTTGGCCACACCCAGCAGGAACTCATTAGCATAATAGGCCACACCCAACAGGAGAAACTCATTAGGATTGGCTACATTAGGGGTGTGTGGCCTAACATGCAAAGGAGTTCCTGCTACAAAAAAGCCCTGAGTTTTGACAACAAACAAGGTAAACAGAATAACAAGCAAAAGGTGGGTGTGGCTGGATAACCACACTTCTGGTAACATGGGGGTGCGGCCTAATGTGCTAATGAGCAGTGCTGTCAGGGGTGTGGCCTAATATGCTAATGAGTTCCTGCTGTTGGGTGTGGCCTATTATGCTAATGAGTTCCTTCTGGGCTTTTTCTACAAAAAGAGCCCTGGCTATAGTAATCCACACTGTTCCTATTCATCCGAGAACTGGAACCCAAAGCTTTGGAATTCAGAGCTTTTTACCACTTGATCTGAAGGAGCAACTGGTAATACCTCATGGACTCAGCTCCTAGAGATTTCTGTGAAGCACAGTTAGTGTGAAAGGACTGCCAACTACAGACGAAATTGTCCTGAGGTAGCTGTGAATATCAGAAGGCCATCTGATGGCTGAAGGAAGAATGGAGGGACTACAGGTACACCCGTTTGTTCTCTTGTCTGCTGACAGTCCCTTGGTGAATGCAGAATGCCAAAGAGCATTTCATGCCAACCATCACAGTATAGGAAAAGAAATCAACATAGATCTTTTATTAAACAAGGCAACGTATTAAAAAGTACTGGTTTAGGTCACTTCACTTAAACGGACGACTGTCGGATTGCTGTTTGAACACGAGGCTACAAAATTAGATTTTGTTATCAGATTGGGTTGTCACTGATGGTTCAAAGGCCTGACATTCACCCCTGTATTGTATTCTTCTCTGGGATACCTAGTCAGACCACAGAAGCTAGATAGAAAAAGCTCCAAGGGCTGAATAAGGTTTTCACTAGTCAAGGGATTTAGTGTAGTAGTTAAGGAGGATAAACTGCAATTTGGGAGGTTCCAGGCGCAAATGTTACCTCTGTCAAGAACTCACCACACCCTTAGGTGCCCCCCCCCTCCAATCTCGAATTTGGGGACAATTATTAATTTAAAATATTTCTATCTCAAATTCTCCACTGAAGAGGGCTCCGGGGAGGTCAGAAACATAGTCATTAAAGCCATAAACAATTTAATCGTGACCAGCAGAAAAGAAACCAGCATATAAAATAGACAAAATAATTCATGTAACTGGCCTACTGTACAGGGCTGCTGGAATCTTTGTAATGATAAATTTGAAATGGAAGCCCTGTTCAGCCTTTAAGTCTGACCGCATGCATGATATAAATGTGCTACATGCGACCCTACCAATAAGCGCGATCACCAGTTCCTCGGAAAAGGGCAACATTTGGGTTGCAAATGGCCAGGTGGGGCTTGGAGATCTCCCAGAATTAAAACTGATCTCCTGGTGACATAGCTCAGTTCCCCCGGGGAAAAGGGTTGCTTTGGAGCATGGACTCTATGGCTTCACATCCCTGCTAATCTCCCTTTCCAGACTCCACCCACAAATCTCCAGGAATTTCCCAACCTGGCAACCCTGAACAACATGCATATATTCAAGCTTTGGAACCCATGTACCTAGGGTCACCAACTTCAAGGCGGCAGCTGGAGATCTCCTGCCATTACAGTTGATCTCTAGACAATCAAGATCAGTTCCCTGGGAGAAAATGGCCACTTTGACGCATGTACTCTATGACATTATACCCTGCTGAGGTCCCCCCCCTCCAAACCCCACCCTCCCCAGGCTCCACCCACCACCCAGAGCTGGCAACCCCATTCCATTAAGGATGGGGGCACCCACAACACAGCCTTCAAACTAGATCTCTGTTCTTCAAAGGGTTCATGTGAATCCCACGGGGTACCTCACAAGGTCACAGTCAACCTGTGCCAATGCACTGAAGACAGCAGCAGGGTGGAATTTGTCGAAACGTGGGGTACTGGATTCCATGGGTGCGCTCTCATCCATTTTGTGCAAAAAAGGTTTTGTGTGTTTTTTTTTCTGGCAACCATACATGTACCAGATTAGTCTGCAGTCTGGGAAGTATGGACCAGGGTGGAAAATTCACCCATTTCTACTTTCAGAAGAAACAGATTTTCTGTGTGAAAACAAAAAAGTAGTCATTGCAAATCTTTCTGCACAAGTGATATGATCCCTAGCTCCAGCCCCTGGCAATAACCAGACTGCTGCATTTGGGACCAATTGGGGT